TTTGCAACCGTTGCTGCATTATACCTTGTTTACCTTTGTTATACTATATCCTTGTTATCCTGGTATCCGCAGTCGAGTCAATGCTTAGCTGGCTTAGACCGGTAGAAATCGGGTGATTTCCTAGCACCTGCGAGCTGTAGGTGGTTACCTGGATCTGCTCGGATAACTATGTAGTCATGGTATAACTAAGTGTTAATTTGAAGTTGAGACTGGACGAAGACTTACAGGGTTTTGGACTGTAGTGCTTTTCGTCTGTGTCGATTAAGGACCAACCGTTGTTGGGCCTCGGGTCATGTTGAACGTATGCCTTATATTTAGCTGGCCGAATAACGTACCTTTCGACCGCGAAGCTAGGAGATTATTCGGGCCGAGTGGATTGCCCGCAGTGCACTGTACCAGAGCAGGTGTGGTAGGACACGGGGGCGCGATGATAAGACCGAAAGGTAGTCGGTCGGCCCCTGGGTACATGTGGTTCCTGGCAAACTCGAGATTTTTTCTGGATAGTTGACTCGGTAACCGATACCTCACTTTAGCGGGTGAGTGAGGTTTGTGTAAGGAATAAATTACCAGCTGGTTAATAATCGATTCGAATCGTCATCGTTCACTGGATAGTGAACACTTGACTTGAGTTACTTCATCGTAGTAATGTTGATGGAACACTTGGACAGTTATAATGGATATGACATTATGGAAGTTGTTAATGATCATTGGTTATCATTATTTGCTTAATCACATGCTTGCTCTAGTATAGGTGCAAATGTAGTCGACAGGTTAATAATAATCAACTTGACAATAATGCTTTTGGAAAGGTTCTTGAAATATTAAAAATGCCTTTTTGCAAATGAGTCAGCTACCCTACTATAAAGCCCTTCATAATCCTTGGTGCCACTTTATTTTTGGTTATGTCGGGTAAGTCTAGCTGAGTACCTTCTCGTACTCAGGGTTTTGTTCCCACTTGTTGCAGGATGGGCAGATGTATTACGGCTACTGTATCAACTGCCTTTATCCTACGATGGATGATGCTTAGGACCATAGGCATGGTCATTCCTTACGTCTCATCTAATACTTTTGTTGGAGATGATCATCAGCTGGCACTATATTTGAACTCCGTGTGAGTGTGTGTGGTTTTGAACAAATGGCTTCCGCTACTTCTATTTGAACTCGGGTTGTAATAACTATGTTTAAACTCCGATATACCTGTGATGCGAACTTTTATGTAATATGTGATGGTGACCGCTAAACTTATTACGATCTTGGCTGGTATGTGAGTTGGTTTGAAATCCTTCGTGATTTCACGCACTACCGAGTTATACGGGCTTAAGTTTGCTAAATCGTCTGCTCTGACGGGTGATTTTCTTACTTAATTTCGTATAATTGGTCGGTTCTGTTACAGAGGCATGCTCACCTAGGCGTGGCCCGCGCCAACGATCTAGTTCTGGATTAGGAACGAGGGGAGGAGCAAGAGAGAGAGAGTGCGCCATGCGGGGACCAGAGAGTAATGATTACAATACAGGGGCATGAAGGTCTTTTTCCACTTGTCCTTATACATGTACCCCGTTCTAAAATGACACTTCTCTTATTGGAAGGGAGGGAATACTCATAGTAATCACCATTTTTAAATAAGTATTTTGGAAAGGTCAACATGCATTACTGCTATGAAATTATTTGTATAAAAAATTAATTGAACATATATAATAATTACGATTTAAAATAATAGTAAAACTAGATGGTTCATGATAAAAAACACATTTGTTATGGGATAAATCATTACAAGTATACATATTTATTTCGGGACGAATAGACTATGAATAGAGTATAATAATGTATAGGATAGATAAAAAGGTTTTTTTTATTGAGTTAAATGTACGAGCGACTATTAAATTTGTCCAGAAATGTAACTTACGTTTATAAGCTTTAAGAATACATTTCTGAATTTGCACCGCACGTTCATAGCTAAAAAGGTATTTTTTTATTGAGTTAAATGTACGAGCGACTATTAAATTTGTAAAGAAATGTAACTTACGTTTATAAGCTTTAAGAATACATTTCTGAGTTTGCACCGCACGTTCATAGCGGTTGCGCCGGTCGTTTTCTTAGGGCTTTTGTAGCGGGGAGAAAAAAGCGACTCATCGCGTGACGTGGAGGCTGAATGAGTCGACTCAACCTCTAGAGCAGGCGACTCTCGGAGAACAGAGAAAAATCAATTCGCGTTTCTGAGTCGACTTTTCCCTAACAAACGATCAAAATCCTATTCGTTTGGCTAATAAGTCAGAGCTGAAATTACTATTAACTGATTTATTGTGAAAGAAAAAATACTGTTGGTTCGTTGAAAAGTACTGTCGGTGTTTTGAGTCATCAACTAGTAAATGTCTAGATTACGCGTCTGGCTTAAAAGACATAAAGGTTTATACTAATTCGAACGAAACATCCTACGTTCAATTTACTGATGCTCGTGTAACCGACACTCAAAGTTTAAAGTAGAGAATGGAAAAAACGAATGGAACAGAGTGTTGCTGGGCGTGTTCAGCTGTGTGTTCGCTCTCTATTCGTCTCTCCCTCGGGTCGTCCTACTTTTCGTTTTATAGGTGAACTTTTCGTTTTATAGGTGATGGGTGAGGTACCGGTAGGAGCAAAGCCAGGGAGAAGAACCGCTGGGTGCTTTTTCTTCTTTACGCGTGTCCCGCCGACGCGGTAGACGGTGATGGGGACGCGTTTTGGGCGACGTTATAAGCGTTCGCTACGCGGTCCTGGAGTGCCACCCGGAACCAGAGCCAGGTTCGCTCCTCCCCATCGGCAGTACATAAGGTAACGCGCAACTCCCCGTCGCCCCCAACACACACACCCCCCCCATCGGCAGTATCTCCTGCCAATCTCCTTACATATTGCTTTCTCTCTCGTCGTTGCTTCTCTCTATTTTGATTCTGCCCAGACCCTGTACTGTAGCATGTATTGGTCCAAGATCTATCTGTGATATACTAGTTTCAATCTTTTTCTTCCTTGGAGATCCTGAGAAAATTTCAGATCGGTATAACCCTTCGGCCTCGGCCTACAAAATGGTCCGCGGAAAAGGTGTTATACAGAGGCGGCTAGGTAGATATTTGGTGTTGATGCATGCATGCTGTTTTCCTCCATGCTCCTAGCTCCTAGGATGCAAGAACGAAAGAAGAACAAATAACGGTCGTTATTTGACATGTATATATTTAGCTCTAACTGCGGACCTGCGGTGCTGCCACACCCATGGTTACACAATCGCAAATTAAAGATAAGATTTGTTAAGCACGACCTCGGCATATGCACGAGCCGAGCATGGTTGTCCATGTCCTGTTGGGACTTGAGAGCGATGCATCATCGTCATCGACTCCACTGTTTGGATCGGCTGGAGCTAACATATAAAAAGTTGAGCTAATAAATACAGTACGTTTGGAGAAGCAATTAATGACGAGGCAGGACAGGAGAAGCTAATCACCCTCAACATCAGGCAAGTTTGGTTAATTTAGTTATTTTTTTACTGTATCAGAACCTAGTTCATTACTCTTGATAGAGAGGAGGATCCGTCTTTTTAGATTTTTTCTATTTATTTTTCTATCTAGATTAGAACCATATCGTTTCTGCGACCGACTAATGTTCTTTTGTTTAAGAGAAAAACAGCCCCACGTGGGGTTAGGTAGTGGGACACCACCTGCTCGTCGGTGGGGTGGAGATGCGCTCCTCTCGACGAGGTCTGACACCTGCTCGTCCTAGCAAGTTGGCGGCGAAGGCACTCGAGCCTCGAGGACATTAGCGTCCTTGAGGACATTAGCCGATGGCGCGGCCGAGCAAGACATTAGCGGCGTCGCTCACGATGCGTGCTTTAGAGCTTTAGCGCGTGTTCAGTTCCAAAAATACTTCCAAAAAATTGCTACAATATTTGTCACATCGAATCTTGCGATACATGCATAGAGCAGTAAATATAGATGGAAAAAAACTAATTGTACAGTTTGGTTGGAAATCACGAGACGAACGCTTTGAATCTAATTAGTTCATTAGTTCATGAATGAACGCTATTTATCAAATAAAAACGAATGGCCTTGACGGGGACGCTGTTCGCTTTCCCTGACGCTTTCATCGTCCGATTTTGAAGCCTTAGCCCGTGGTTTGTACCTTTTTATAAGTGCGAAGCTGGCACGACTCGTCCCGGTGGTCTCTGGAGCTAAGCAGGCTCTCTGTCAAACAGGCCCTCTTTTCAGCCCGTGCCCTCTCAAGCCAGAGTGCCAGACGGACCCAACAAATACGCCCGGACCGTGTTTCTTCCTAACTATACTATAGCCTTCCATTCTGGGATAGCCTAAGAGGCCGGCCTTAAACGGTCAGGCCGAAACGGCAACAGAGAGAGAGAGAGACAGAGTTCGGCCCACCCTGTTCGGCAGTTTTAATTTGGCTTATAAGTCTCGACGAATAGTATTTTTCTCTCACGTTAAACCAGGTCAGCAGTATTTTTTAATCATGGCTTATCAACCTATCTATTCGAAGGCCTTGTTTCTGCATGCCTTGGAATATAATTGTTTATATACAAAGCATAATAATTTCATGCATCTACACCGATTAGAGGAGATGCATACATATAGGAGAACCTTGCTGCATCCATGACTCTACATCTCGTCAATGATTTCTCTTTCGTTGAAATGGTTTATTATTGCCTTTTTTTTATATATAGATAGAAAATCTTTTTTCATATGTAGATAGAAATTCTTCTTCGAAATCTAGTTCGTTATTTTTTTTTAATCTCTGTAACTCAATTCTTAAATTTCTACGTATAGTATTCATGGCATCTTCAAGGACTTGAGGATTCAACAAGACCAGCTCCAGCTCCAGTTCATATCCCTGTGTTACTGAAGAAGGCTTGAACGTGTGCAGATATTACATTCTGGCGGTGCCACGGTTATTATATTATGTCTTCGGTGTCCCCAAAGAAGCTTCCGCTTTTGGACGACGAAGAATCGAGAGACCGAAATAATAGGAGTATGAACAACGAAGGAGGAGACGGCGGCGGATTCTCATGGCTGACAGCGCTCGGGTTCGGGTTCCTGACCTTCAACTCGGGCATGGCCATCTACCGCTCCGACCGCGACCTCGGGTCGATAGCGTTCGTGGCGGGGTCGTACGTGGACCTGGTGCTGCTCTTTCTCTGCCTCCGCCTGTTCGAGATGACGCCGCGGGACTCGCCTCGCCGCGGGTGGCTCAAGGCCTGCGTCTGGGCGCTGACCACGCTGCTCACCGTCATGTTCTCCCAGAAGGTGGCGGCCATCATGCCGGCGCCGGTGGCGCTCCTCGTGTGGGCGATGGCGTTCGCCACCATCGCCGGCGGCTTCTACGCCTTCTTCATCCACCAGGACAAGACTGCCCTTGTGGAGGCGGCGAACCCGTAGATGTCGTCTCTGCCATCACCACTACCCAACCGGTATATGTTGTCTCTGGCGCTGCCATGCGCGCGCAGCTCTCCTTCAGAAGATACCGCAACAATAGTCAGCGCTGTTTGTATGCTATGGTAACGGTGTGTCGTCCTACTGTCGTTTTAATAGAGTCTGTCTACTTCACAGTCATGTTTTATGCAGTTGAACATATGAATATTTTTTGTATCATAGGATTAAGATCCAACAGCCTTCATCCTTTTTCTATCTTCAGCCTCTATATATTATAGATCATAATTTTTTTTGTTATGAAAGGACAAATTATAGATCCGCCGCTGCCGCTGGGGCGAGATCATCGGTCGCCGGCGCCGGTGGTCACTGGTGAGAGAGAGGGAGAGAGAGAAAATAAAAATCTATGTGTTTTTTACGCTAAAACCTATGTGTATTGTATAGCATTTCTGTTTTAATAAACCTGCTACTGCAGTTTGTGTGCCTGAACCCACTGTTTGGTTTAACATCCTTGTGGTGTCGCTGACATTCTGCGTGCCTCCACCGATCTGGTTCCATCGTTTGAAACTAATGCTAACCACCGCAAAAAAACGTCAGCCTTAGCTGCTTGTTTCGCGTCCAAAGTAGTTTAGGCCCATTGTGTGAGCAACAAGACTTAGGCGCTTACATAGTTTAGGCACAAACAGATCAAAGCCAGTCATTGTTAATTGTTGCCATCGGCAAAACCCGATCAGGCCTTTGGGCGAGGCCCCCAAACACAGCCCATAAAGCGTTTGAGTTACCGTACTCAAAGTGGATTCAGCGGTGGAGCCGTCGGGGCTCAAGCATCCTCTACCGCCTCCTGAGTCCCGACAATGGAGCCCTTTCTCCATTTTTATGAAAGAAAAAATGAGAAGGAAGAAATGAGGAGAAGAAAGGACAGGTACTACTAACCAGACCCATAAGCTCTTGTTCTCTCTCCCCTAAAATAAACTATAAATTCAGTGAAACAATATAAGAAAAAAGTCGGCGAAACTAGCATTTTGGCAATTCGGAATAGAAGTTGTCAGAACCATCTCGGCGCGACACAGGTAATCTGAGCAAGTTTTTTTTGCTGCGGCCTAAAGCTTATTTGGATCTCATGATCTATTAGCTTCTTTTTTAAGACCGGCAAAAGCTTTGCCATATTTTTATTGAGTAAAATGCACTAGAGGTCCATTAACTTTCGTTGAAGTGTTATCTAGGCTCATCAACTTTGAAACTATATTTTGGGTTTCATTAACTTTCGTTGGAGTGTTATCTAGGTTCATCAACTTTGTAACTATATTTTTTAGTGATGAATTTTTAAAATAGTTCACTGCAAATTCATATTATTTATTTAACCTTAAATCCAACACATGCATGCACGTCGGCTCCGACGTCTCTGTTTCGCTCCATAGACAGACCATATCGATCTCGGTCCAAAACCTGTGGCACTATGTTGTCCGTTTCCAAGAGAGCTGAGAGCAGCATCAGATTCAGAGCAAGAGCAGGCAGCTGGCCTTGCTGCTGTGTGCTTACAGCTGCATCGGTTGACAATTGCCATGGTGTTCTAGTGCATGCATGGACCCACCCCAAAGCAGCATTGACCACCATGTCCGGGTGTGGCTCACTCCCACGAAGTACAGGCACCTCCGCGTAGATGTAGCACTAGCAGAGCAGGTAGCAGCACTGGCAGCCATGCTGCCTTCTGCTGCATCTGCGCTCTACCTCCCCCACTCCGGCCACCATTTTCCTGCAGCATCATTTCAGTGGCGCCGCTTTCTTCTCCTGTTGGATCCAGTCTCGTCGTCTCGTATCGTGTGTGCTCAACATGAACATCAATGCTCCGGCTCCGGCTCCGGCTCCGGCTCCGGCCGCGATCTGATTGGTGGCATGCGGCATGCCCACCGTACCCAAGCTGGCAAGCTGGGGTGATGCAGAGGCCGCTAGCTATAGTTTTTCCACACGACCGGCCGGAGCAGAGGCATGCAGCAGAGCTGATGAGCTAGTCGTGGACGCGGACGGTACAGGGACGTGGGTGCGCATGCAGCCAGGCGCACAGCCGGCCGGGGCAGCAGCAGTCGTCCAAGCCAGGCGCCGCATGCAGCAGTGGTCGCGTGCGACGCGCAACCGGCGCCCCATACGATACGACGACGAGGATTCATGGCATGCATCTATCTTGTTTTCTTTTTTAACAAAATAAAAGGAAGGATTTTGTTGATTCACGATCACTCGATGGCGATGGATGCGGTTCTAGAAACAGTACCATCAGCAAATGATTTTTCCAGCCTATTCGCTTATGGGTTTTAGCCAGGGCTTATCAGCCATGTTACAGTGTTTCCCTCTCACAACAAACCAGCACCAGTCGAGCTTATCAGCCTAGAAATCAACCAACGAACAAGTTAGAAACAGTATCAAGCTAAGTGTCAGCAGCGGCTGCACTACGTACAGCGATTTGCTGTGCCGTCGAAGGGGCAAGAGGGTGTAGGAATTGGATTGAAGCCGCACGCACGCGCACTAGGCACTACTGGCGTTGACCGCACGTTTAGTTTGTTCACTCTGTAACACGTAGAATTTGGAGTTTGGACGGACCGGGGGTGTTGCCACCTTCCACTACTACCAGTGTGTGCCAAACAAACACTGGTACACTGGTACGAGTGTTGGCTTCTGCTCTAAAAAAAAGCCAGGAGTATTTCCAAGAGAGATGAGAGCATGCAGCATGGGCCCCATGCAATGCAGCATTGGCCACCAAGTCACCAACGCACCGTGGCTCCCACCCACATGCACAGCACCTCCACGCACGTATACCCAGCTGCAAAGTGTTTTGCATCGTCCACTCAGTACGTATCAGCTGGGGGCACGTACTAGCAGCCATCAGCCATGCTCTCTGTCTGTCTCTCTCTCTCTCTCTCTCTCTCTGTTGCACTTGGAACTGCACTGCATATGCGCGCTCGGCCACCATGATTTTCCCGTAGCATGGATCCATCATTTCAGATCAGTGGCGCCACTTCGTTCGTTGTCTCGTGGTCGTCTGTCGTCTCCATCTCCATGTGTGCATGTCTCCGTGCACCAGAGATGGAGACCGAGACGGAGACGTACTATGCACAATAGCTGAGAGACTAGCTAGCTAGTAGTACTAGAGAGGAAGTTGTGTATGCGTTGATCCGTTCGTGCATGTCGACATGTCGTCCGTCGATGGTACCTGCTCGTCGTTGTCGTCGTCCCACACGGCCACACCAGACACCACACAGCCAGCGCCAGCAGCCTTGGTCGTCTCATCTCTCACAGTGGTCGTCGGGTCGACGCACCATGCTCTGTAGCTTCAGGTCAGCAGCTCGATCGGCAAGCATGATGCATGCATGCAAGCGCGCTGGCGTGCCCGTGCGTCCACACGACCGGGACCTGACGAGCTGATGAGCTAGTCGATCGTGGACACGGGACAGGGACATGCTGGCCACATGCAGGCGCAGCGCGACAGAGACCGATCGACGACGACGACCGAGGAGCACGCAGGCGCCGCGGGCCGAGATACCGTGCGACGCGCAACACGTTACGGCAGCAGGCCGGCCGGCCGGCGCCCCATACGACACGACAACCAGCAAGCAAGCGAGAGGTTTCATCTTCTTTCTTGTTGCATGCATGCATTGACGATGGTATCCAACCCAATCCTCTGGATCGATCGCGCTCCGTGCATTGCATGCATGCGGCGATCCAACTTGCCCGTCATTTTCGTCTACTAGCAGTGTTTGTGCGTGCGCTCTGCGCTGTATAGGCCAGCTGCCTGCTCTTGCTCTGAATCTGATGCTGCTCTCAGCTCTCTTGGAAACGGACAACTTAGTGCCACAGGTTTTGGACCGAGATCGATATGGTCTGTCTATGGAGCGAAACTGAGAGGTCGGAGCCGACGTGCGTTGGATTTAAGGTTAAATAAATGGTATGGATCTGTAGTGAACTATTTTAAAAGTTTATGGACCAGAAAATATAGTTATAAAGTTGATGAATCTAGATGACACTCCAACGAAAATTAATGGACCCAAAAATACAGTTTCAAAGTTGATGGACCTAGATGACAAATCAGAAGCTTGCACTCATCAGCGTGTAAAATTCAAAGAATCAACAAATCAGAAGTTTCGTTTTCAAACATTAAAGTACTGGGCGCGTTGCTTCCAATGGCCGTGTCTTGCCTGGGTGCCCACGGAATTGTTATTGTTTTTTTAAGAACGCGTTTCATTAAGAGAAGGTAGAATGAGTACAACGCAAGCTGGACTGACGGCGAACAGCCAGCAAACCGGCCGACGACGGAATTGTTATTGTCGTATACTACGTGTTTTCCTTAGGTACAGTCCTAACCCATAAACTTAAATAGTTTCTATGGCCAACATCCTCTATTCTAACAGCAAACAAATGTCTATTTAACGCTGAATTTAATTAAACTAAGTGTTGCGCATGTCGCTATTCTTTTCTAGAACTTCGGTAACTTAAAAACTACTTGTGTTCCAAAACGTATCTTGCACTTCAAAAGAAATCATCAAATTTTAAGTTTGATCAAATATCTAAAAATACTAATATCTGTGATAAACACCATTATATTAATCATGACATATATTCTCATAGTAAGCTTACCTAAAGATCGAATCTTAATACTATTTTTTTAACACCGTATAAAATAGAGTCAAAACTTGAGATGATTGTTTCCTTGAAATGCAAGTTTGCACTTATTTTGAGGCGAATAAATAAAGTAATATAAAACATCACATCATGCATAGGAATGGTGGGATTATTAATGTGGTAGAACCGCCTAATCTAATGCCTCACAGGAGTGCTCGTCTTTCATTAGACACTAAGCACCCAAGGTATAACACTAAATTACTCGGTTCCGTCGGGCACACCCCAGGGGAGAACCCGAAAATCCATATTTTTTCATCAGGGTCACAAATGAGAGAATAAAGCTTACATCATTCTTAACCATTTCTTACATCACTTTTAACACAACATCAGAGTATAACATT